CCTATGTGCCGAGTTTGTGGCGATGCTTTAGCAGTAATGAAAAAAGAGAATCTGGAATGTAATTACAGCTCAAAACATGCTAAACTCAACGAATTGAGAGGCCAATTGCTTCTGAATAAAATCAATGCTCTTCAGCTGAGTTTGGAATCACAGCAACCCACTTTCACTAGACCTCGTTGTGACAGAGACAACGTTATTCATACGAGTTATGTAGTGAGTGAGCTAATCACAAAGAAGCTCAGGCCTCATGTAGAGGGAGAGTTTGTGAAAGAGTGAATGGTTGCTGCTGCGGAGTTGTTAGCACCAGACAAAGTAAAATTGTTTCAGAGTGTTAGTTTGTCTCGGAGAACCGTCTCAGATCGGATTACTGACTTAGCACAAGATATTGAAAAAACACTGAAGGATTCTGCAGGAAATTTCCAATTTTTCTCTCTGGCTTGTGACGAGACAACCGACATAACAAATACTGCTCAACTGGCTGTTTTTGTTCGTGGGATAACTGCAGAGTTTGATACACGAGAGGAACTGCTTTCACTGGAACCCATGCATGACACTACAAGAGGTGATGACTTATTTGAGAGACTTGTTTTATCAATGAAAAAACTTGAGCTAACATTTGAAAAGTTAAGTGGCCTTACTGCAGTTCCAGCCGTGGTTGGCTCCCAAAAAGGGTTTGTTGCATTTGTCAAGAAAGAACTGAATCGTCTCAATCTTGATCCAAATGATTTAATTATATGCCACTGCATCATACCATAAGAAAGTCTTTGTGCACAGCTGTTGTGACTCAACAATGTGATGTCAACAGTAGTGTCATGCATAAATTTTATCAAAACCAGAGGGCCACCAGTTTAAGGAGTTCCTGAGTGATCTTGACTCTGAGTACGGTGATCTTGTTTATCACTGTGAAGTGCGGTTGCTGAGTTGCGGGAACATGCTCAGGAGGTTTTACGAACTGCAGGATGAAGTCAAGCACTTCATGGAGATGAAACTCAATGATAGCAAGTGGCTGTGTGATCTAGCACTCATGGTGGAAATTACCAAGTACATCTCAGAGCTGAACGTCAAGCCGTAGGGCCCCAACCAGTTTCTCATCTCACTGCTTTCAAACGTGAAATCATTTGAAGCTAAATTAAGGCTGTGGAAAGTGCAACTCAAGAAGAATAACACAGTGCATTTCCCCACTCTGGAAGGACAAAAGCCTTCTACGACACTAGAATATGCTATTGAATGTGCAAAACTAATTGAGGCATTTAATGAAAGATTCAAGGACGTGAAAAGCAAACAAATGGAATTGAACATCTTTCAATGTGGAACCAGCTGATGTGCCTGATAACCTACAACACAAAATAATTTAGCTGCAAAGCCCAGGTACAACAACCTCCCACTGCTTGAGTTCTACAAATGTTACATAAGTAATGATGAATTCCCCACTTTGAGAAGACATGCATTCAAATATGCATTTGTGTTTGGAACAACTTACTGCTGCGAGCAGTTCTTTTCAAAACTTACCATCGCAAAGAGTTGACTGCGCTCCAGACTGACCAACACAAACCTGGAAAACCAGTTGCGAGTAGCAACATCATCAATACCAGCTAACATAACACACCTGACCAAAGAGAGGCAGTTCCAGTAATCACATTAGGGGTGAATTAATTTATTTGACCAAATATAGCAGGCTAAGTTTTAAGCTGATAATTTTGTATGGCCCCCGAATGATGTTATAAATATCCAAATGGCCCTGGGCAGAGAAAAGGTTCTCCACCCCTGCTTTAAGTAGTATGTTCTGGAAATCTTGTCTAGCAGTTTACAGAGGCTGCAACAGCATGCCTCCACTCAGCAGCATAGTGTAGTATAAAAATAGCAGGGGGCTCACCCCTGGTGCACAGGGTATGAACCCTTAAGGGCTGGCCACAGCCCTGACCGAAAGCACTAATCTGTGCTTAAACAGTTCATTCAAGGTTATGGGAGACATTCCTTTAAGCAGTATGTCCTGGAAATCCTGTCCAGCAGTTGAGAGGCTGTAGTAGCATGTCTTCAAACAGTAGCACAGTGTAGTAAAATATATAGTTGGGGGGCTCACCTCAGGGGCTCAGGGTATGAACCCTTGAGTGCAGTGCTGGCCACAGCTCCGAAAGAGAGCTCAAACAATTAATTCAAGGTTAACAGTTAATTAAGCAGTATGTCCTGGAAATCCTGTCCAGCAAGTAACAGAGGCTGCAACAGCATGTCTCAATTCAATAGCACAGTGTTGTACAAATATAGTGGGGGGCTCACCCCAGGTGCACAAAGTATGAACACTTGAGTGCAGGCCACAGCCCTGGTAGAGAGAACTAATCTGTGCTCAAACACAGGGCCGGTGCTAGGATTTTTGACTACACAGGTGAATATGCATTTTGCGCCGCCCCACCCCCCCACCTAAAAAAAAAACAAAAACAATGCATCTTCACCTCTGTGTCTCGTAGCCCCCCCTTTTGAATTTCTTACCCACATTAGTGTTGCATATCCACTCTCTTGAATGTCTTACCCCATTGGCCCCTTTGTGCCTTACACCCCCCTTTAGTGCATCTCCTACAACCCCTCTTATGTATTTCTTACTTCCCCGCCAGCCCCTTTCTGTCTCTTTCTTCCCCCCAGCCCCTATCTATCTCTCTTTTTCTCCTATATAGACATAGACATATACAGGCAAAAATACATACATGCACAAATACACAAACAAACAGACACACAACCATACAGGCATAATTATTCAGGCACACAGTCACAAAGATATATAGACACACAGTCATAAAAGGCACACAATCAAACAAACACAGTCATACAATCTACACATACAGGTACATTGTCGTACAAACACAGACATACATTCATACAGACACAGGCACACACAGAAATACAGACACAGACATAAAGAAACATAGGGATAGGCATATAGAGACATACATACACAGTGATACAGATACATACGCAGACAGTCATAAAGAGACATACAGACAAGGCATACAGAGACATACATACATAGACAAACAAAGAACCCTGCACACTGATACCGTAGACAGACACACAGATACACACACATATACAGATGCACATAAACACTGAAAGACATACAGATAAACACACACTGACATACAGACACTGACAGACACACAGATACACACTGACAGACATACAGATACACACGTACACAATGATAGACATACAGATACACACACAGACAGACATACACAAACACACACACTGACAGACAGACATACACACACACACACTGACAGACATATAGATACATACAGACACACTGACCCTGAGGGTCAAGCAGAACTGATTTACTGGGGCTACCTGCCTGGCTTTTATGCAGGTCTCCCACCTGGTGGACACTCCCCTAGGGGACCAGATGGAAGACTGGGAAACATATTGGACATTGACCAATCACAGACATACACCTTTAAACACACCCACAATGCATCACAGTCCCTCCTCTCTATCCTGGAGATAATTGGGAAGTAATCCAATTATCTCCCAGGACAGTGGCAAAACTCCATTGAGCACATGTTACTAAAAAGATTAAAAAATACCCACTGTTGCAAATAATTAACAAAACACATACATTCTACATATCCCCAGATAGCTTAGATCTGAGCGCACATTATTACCGAATGGCGCTCAGATCACATACAGTTCAATTGCCATGGAGCCAAAGTCTTTCCTACAGTCTTTTCATTACACAAATGGGCTCCATGGCTTAGCTACCTGGCTACCAGTCATTCAGTTCCACTACCGAATGCAGGGCTAAGGAGGCTGGCTGCTCAGCAGTGTTAACTCAAAAAGTGTCCGTTTTCAGTTCCATAGTTTGGGCGCTGAACACCGCTGGCCATTCGGGAGTTAAAACAGCAAATGAACAAAGGCCACCCAGCGTTCGTCAATCAAGCTGCGGTTAACCGCAGCTTCTGGGCGGTCAATTGACGGTACACTCCAGTTCCCAGGTGGTCCATCGTTCCGGTACTTTGTTCGGTAGATTGAATCTACCGAACACCCCGGCAGAAAGGCATGAATAAGCCTTTCAGCAGGGAAAATAAAAGGATTTAACTGCCAGGCCATAATCTAAAGGGAGCAGGCGAGCAACCAGGCCTCTCCTGTGCACAGTGGCGAGATTGGTTCCGCCACATGGGGAAATGGGTCTGACCTATTCTAATCAAAGGTGATAACCATCGGTTACCCAGGTCCCGCTTCAATTGGTGGCAAGCGGCGGGATCCCATGTCCCTGCCAACAGACCCATGGACTACAGTGCTCTAAAGCGACCTACACTGCAGGACTTGTGTAGAGCCAGAGGAATAACGCCAAGTGGGCGTAACAAGGCTGAATTGACTGCTGCGCTCATGGAGGATGACCAGGCATGCAGTGAGGCAACAAACCCCAGCCAGGGGCCGGAGATGAGGAGGAAGTGCGCAAAGAGTTGTAACGGCACCTGGCATATTACCGAGAGCCACCCTCAGAGGAGATTGTCAGCAGGACCTTTTTGGAGGTGCAAGCCTATGTCCTTGCCAATAGACAGAGGGCGACCTCCTTAAACCCAGATGAAGCAAGAAGGTAGTAGAGGGTGCCGGGAAGCACAACCACCCTGGCCCATAAGCTACCATACAATGCCTTCAAAGACTTCAAGGAAGCAGAAGAAGGCATCGATGAATTTTTACAAGACTTTGAACGCCAGTGCCTACTCTAAGACGTGGACCCCAGCGACTGCGTCACCATCCTGGCCAGCAAACTAGCGGGGAAGGCAGCGGATATTTACCAGACTGTACCAGAAGAGCAGATATTATTTATTATTTATTTATTACCCAAATCCTCCGGGCCCGGAATGCGGTCACTCCAGAGCAATACCGCTGAACGTTTAGGGAGACCTGGAAAGGGGAGAAGGACTCCCATGTGGAGTAGGCATGCCGCATCACAAGGGCCACCCAGAACTGTCTCAACTCCCATCAAGCCAAGTTCCCGGAGGAGATCACCCAGCTCGCCATGCTAGAGCACTTTTTCAATGGGCTCCCCAATGACAAGATGACAACGCATTCGTATGTCATCCATATCAACTTTCGATGACCACGGGTAACGGGAAATCAGGGTTCGATTACGGAGAGGGAGCCTGAGAAACGGCTACCACATGCAAGGAAGGCAGCAGGTGTGCAAATGACCCACTCCCGACGCAGGAAGGTAGTGACGACAAATAACAATACAGGACTCTTTAGAGGTCCTGTAAATGTAATGCATCCACTTGAAATCCTTTAACTCCGATCAATTGGAGGGCAAGTCTGGTGCAGAGCGACTGACCCGTGCGTGCTGCAGCTGAAACTCCACTATCGCCTGCTGCTGCTCACACAGTCTCTCCAGCATGTGCAAGGTGGAGTTCCACCTTGTGGGCACGTTGCATGTGAGGCGGTGAGCGTGAAGGCCAAAGTTACGCTGCAGCGCAGACAGGCAAACAGTAGCAGGGTGAGAACGCCGAAAGAGTGCACAGCTGCTACAGGGAATGTCACATCCTGTTACAAGTTGCAGATCAGTCTGGTGATGGCTTCTGGTATCCAGTACTCTATTTACTGAAGCTGCATCAGGGTCCTGGTATGTGGCCGCACAAATGCTGATGCTCAACACCAGGGGGAGTGCGGTTACCCTGCACCAGACCCTGCTAATGCATTCCGCACTATGACTCCTAACTTCAACATCAGGTCGTCCGACCGCCGCCCAGACAGTGTAAGATAATACATGCTGACGAGCGCTAGGGGACGGCCACTCTGCTTTTGCACCCTGCTCCCTCTTAAACTGTGCTGGTGCCTCTGTGCGACCAGAGCTTCTTCCTCCAAACTGCACATGTCACTTGCATGACCTTGATTCCATGTGGGGTCTAGGACCTCATCATCCTCCACATCATCTTCCACCCACTCCTCAAACCTGACCTCCTTGTTGGTCTGCATACTGCAGAAAGCCACAGCAGTTGGCACCTGTGTTTTTCCAGCATGTAAAGTCTGCAAAGGACATATGGAAATTTTTGTTTTAGAATTGTATCCAGGCAACAGTTTTCCCTATAAACTGACCTCTCAGTTTGACTTGTGAGGATATTGCCCCCGAATTATAATATTGTTATATTGGTATTTGACGGTTCTATTTGACTGTCAGATATGAAGTACAGGCCGCAAATGTACTATTTAGCACCCAAAAAATATTTAATTGGTCAAACTGCGCTGTAACCACAGTATTTGACGGTTCTATTTGACTGTCAGATATGAAGTGCACACCCCAAATTTACTTTTTATCACCCAAAACAATTTGAATTTTTCAAAGTGCGCTGAAAGCACAGTATTTGACTGTTCTATCTGACTCTCAGATATGAAGTGCCGCAAGTGTACTATTTAGCAGCCAAAAAAATTGTATGTTTCAAAATGCTATGTCAAAGCACTATTTGACGGTTCTATTTGACTCTCAGATATGAAGAGCACGCCCCAAATTTACTATTAAGCAGATTAGCACCCAGAAAATAAGAATGTGCAACCTAGGAGTAGATAACCCTCAAATAACACAATGGGAAAAACAAAATCACAGTGCTCTCCACTATTAAGGAGTGCAATAGGGGGAGCACAATGGAGAAAAACGTTGCTAAAACAGAACCCTAACCTTATTAGATCTAATACAGAAAAAGGACCGAATGGAGCTAATCATACAATGTGATCAACAGTTGTCTAAGGACAACAAGGAGGAAGGTGGAAACTGCAGATCCAGGGCGTGTCTTTTGTCACCACTTTATTTTTTCACTTTGGTAGCACTATGTGCATTTATTATTGATTTTTTTTCCAGTTCTAGGGACATGTAGTTCAAGTAAGCACTAGCCCTGTGTGGTGCAGAGGTAAATAGGGCTATTAATAGCATTTTTATAGTCTTTAGCCCCTGTTATTATTGACCCCGAGTTCTTTCAGTCTTCCAGCCCCTAGTTATTTACACTCTCTTTGTAGAGGTTTCTATAAGGATTGAGGGTTTTCTGTTTGGTGGAATTGCATTAGCAATGACTCTACTAGTATTGTTTTAATTTTCTTCAAGCTTTTGCTTTCTGTATAATACAGGGGCCTTTGCTACTTCCCTGTTCATATATACCTACCTGTCCAGTGGTGGATAATATGGGGTGGTTGTTCCTTATCAGATATTGTGTCTGCAGTTTCCACCTTCCTCCTTATCTCTAGACAATTGTTGAACACATTGTATGTTTAGCTCCTTTAGGTCTTTTTTCTGTGTTAGATGTAATAAAGTTAGGGCAACTTTTTTTCCACTGTGCTTTTTATTGCACTGCCTGCTAATGGAGTGCACTCAGTGTCGTCTTTAATATTGATTGGACCCTGGGCAAGAATTTACTTGGGCCCACTTGGGCCCGCCTTCCCACACCCTAGCATGTAATCACGCCCTCCACCACAACACACACACAAAAAACAAAACACACTCACCTTGTAGAGTAGTAAACTTTAATAATGTAAACATAAAAAACTGGTTCACAAATAAGTCCTTAGCTTGACCTGTAGCTTCTTTTAACCACGGTCTTATAGTATATTTTTATTAACAATTATATGTTGTTGGAAGAACAAGCATGCTGATATCTTAATAATAACTTTCAGTAGCAGTGCAAATCAACATTATTATGTTTAAATTATAAAACAAATAACCATGTTGGCTAGTAATATCTAAAAAAAATAAAAAAATAAAATACAACAATTAACAATGCAACTAAATAAACAATATTAAACCTTACAATTTGTAGAATCCAAGTGCACATTTCCCATTTCAATATGGAGAATAGGGAATCAAGTACCAGTGTTACATGGTCAGCCTCATTATTATAATTCCTGTTAGGCACCAACTGCTGCAGTAGAAGACTATTATAAAAGAATACATAGTTTGACAATCATTAACATAAAGTGCAGAGAACTTTTACATAAAATAGTAAATAAATATTTTAATGCAACTTAAACAATGAGTCTACGTGCTTTCTGAGCAGCAAAGGTCTTAATGTTTGAAAATGAAGACCACAAAGTATATCGGATTCAGCAGACATTATAGATAGTTTGGTGAGACGGCTCTGGCTCATGGTTGTGCGTTGAAAGTTTTTTTTTATCAATTTCATTTTTGAAAAAGATTGTTCACCTGAACTGTTAGTGATCATTAAAGTAAGGTATATTTTTAAAACAATTTCCGTGTTGGGAGAGGTATCTTACATCCTTGTCATAAATTGTACTGTACATGAATTGCTCTATGCTGCAATCGTCTGGTTTTTCCCCCAGGAAAAGAGAAATGAATGACTGAAATTGAATCAGCTTATCATCAAATGTTGTACCCAGATCATGCTTGTAGAAAGCAGACAACTTTTCTGCTGCAGTTTTAATGGATTAGAGTCCATCGTTGAAAAGTTTTTAAAGAAACCAAATAAATCACACACTTCACTGTAGGCTCCTAGGCGATGTTCCAGGCACATTAAAAGTTTGTCAACACATGGGAGAAAGGCCTTCGCATAAAAGGCCTCCTTTGGCATTACTTGTGCTTCTTCACTATGTCCATAGTCAAGTGGCTGCTGACAGACATTCCGGCGTTGAAGACGGCGGTGTTGCACAATATACTCTTCAGTATTTGTTAGACGCTTGCCAGCTTCTTCAAATGCATCAAATTTAGTACCCTGTTCATTCATAAACTCTTTTAACAATTTCAAAACACCAACAGCAGCATTTAGGTTCAGCTGAACAGAATGCAGAGTTTTGCTGCTGCTGTTGAAACGCTGCAAAACCGTGTTCCAGAATTCTGCAAAAATCACTGTCTCAAGTTTGCTTATCTGATCAAATAGTCCTTTTGTGGTAATACGGCACTCAGATTTTTCTTCAATGTCAGTTGAAAATTCAAACAAAATGTCAATTATATTTTCATAGCCATGGACTAATGCTTGACAAGCATCTGCATGACATGACCAGCGTGTGTCACTTAGCTTTTTTGGCATGGACTCAGAGAGGCCTTTCTCATCAAGCTTGTCTTTAAGCTTCTTGTAGCGCCAAGTTGAACCACTAAAGAATGTATAAAGAGCTTGTACAAAATTAAAAAAAAACCTTACAGCCTCACTACATGAATTTGCAGCATCCTTTCCGACAAGGTTTAATGAGTGTCCAAAACAAGGTACGTACTTAGCATATTTATTCATGTTAACAATTCTTGCTTGCAAACCCTTGTAGTGGCCAGACATGTTGCTTGCATTGTCGTAACTTTGTCCACGGCATTCTTGTATGGTAAGTCCAACCCTATTAAGAAATGCTAGGAGCACACCTGCCATTTCTTCTGCTTTATGCCCTGTTGAGGGTAAAAAAGTTACAAAACGCTCCACAGGTCGATTTCCTTCTAAGTATCGAGAAATCACTGTGAGTTGGTCAGTATGAGAAGAATCTTCCACCGAATCCACAGAAACCGAGTAGTACTTTTTAGCCATTTTAATACGTTTGATGACAACTTCTAAGATCTTATTCCCAGTAATTTGTATGAGTTCCTCACAGACATTTGCTGATAAATAACATGTGCATCCTTTGCCTTTGTTTGGATGTGTTGTGCTAGGAAAGCATCATACTCTGACAGTAATTCCAAAATACCGAGATAGTTGCCATTGTGTGGGGATCCAATAGTCTGATCATCACCTCTAAAAGCCAATCCTCTCTCAGCAAGAAAAGTGGTGACACTAAGCAAACATTTTACTAGGTTTTGCCATTAGGTGGTCAGCTCTTCAATCTGCTGTTGCATTTTATAGTCAATCCGACCTTCCAGTTTTGAAAATGTGGCTGTATCAATCACAATAAACATATCTGCTGTTTGGCAACATCCATCTTTAAATGATTTTGGAAATCCTTCATTGTGCAGTTGTTCCAGAGGTTTTCTTACTGACGAATTTCCATTTTTGGACCAATACTCCCGCATCTCCAGAGTAAATGAGTTACGCCACAAACCAATGTCAGTTAGGAAACCCGACTTTTCCATGGATTCTGGAAGTAAATCAACTGCTTCAGCAGTAGCGTTTTGTATTTCAACAGTATGGAAGCTAGGT